CCAGGGTACTTCTACACTATTATAAACATGTAAATCCTTGCAGCTAATGCACATACCAGTTATAGCTCTGAAAGATTTCATAATGTCTAGTCTGTGAACAAAACTAACAGCCATTACAGTGCTCTTAATGGTTACTTCATTCAGAAAACACCACAAATAATTAACATTGGGATATGACTTGTTCTCTGAAATACTGAGAGACTAGGATGGAAGATGATCCCATCTAACGAAGACTCACAAGCAGTCTGACTATGCCTCATACCCTGTGAAATAAAAGATTTTGAAGACAAAAAAAGAGTCTAACTCCTTTATGCAATCTGTAGACAAGGAACTACCAAATTAACAATAAAACTACTGTGTAAGCCACATGAGAAGTTAGGTACCTTACCTTCTTCTACAGTTACATTCCCTCTGAAGAAGTATTTTCCATGTCCTCTAGAGAGAGCCACACCTAAACTGTGCAGAGAAACAAAGCAGACCTTGAAATCTGTGAGACAAACAATAGCAGACATTCAGAGCTATTTTCATTTTTAACATTTCCAGCTCATGTACTGTGATTAACTTAAACTGTTTGTTTCCAAACCCTCACCAATTATATTTATTGTTCAATTAGTTGCTTCAATGATGTCTCAGTTCTGATGTGCCTGCAACAATTGGCTGTATTTATGTGTGCTTAGAGGTGCAGTAAACCATTATTCCCTGGCAAAGTAATAAATGAGCCCCTCTAAGCTCACTGCTGTTCACCCAGCATGAGATTTCTTCAGCTGAGCCTTGAACATGACCATGGCCTTACAATGAGAGAGACAATTTTTTTGTAAATCAGACAAAGCTGTTGAAAAATTATGGAAGTGTGGGAATTGATGGTGCTACTGACAGGAAAATAATTTCAAATATGACAACAGCATCATGACTCCTCCTGGACTAATTTTTCTGTGTTTCATATTTTTAGCTAGCATAGCTGTTTTGTATTGACTTCAGCTTCATAAATTCCCAACAGTTACACACAGTGTTTTGGTCTGGTTTTCAGTCTACCATTTAAAACATCCAAGTATGATGAAGTGGCTGGGGGATCCCATGCCTCTTGCTATCAAACACAAACACAGAATATCTTCTGGCATTCATTCATTCATTGAAGGGGATTATCTTGAGCTAGGAATCTGTAATAATCAGCAAGATTGCAAACGCATGGCCTAGTAATTGAAGTACATGGAGAAGCCAAGAGCACACAAGCTGCAATCAACAGCTCAGTCTGGGAGAGGACTGAACACTAAACAGCTTTGACACTACACTATGCTGCTGTCCCAAATCTACACAACAACCCAAAACTAGATACATATCACGTTGAAAAAGGACAGTTTTCCTAACTATATTTCTGTCCTTAGCACCATAACTAACACTACGTGCATGTATGTAGCCCCACTTCTGTTTACCTAACAGTGCAAGAGTGCCAGTGCCAAAGAAAAACAAACAAAAAAAGAACAGCAACCAGAAAAAACTCCACAAAATAAAACCAAAACAAATAATCCATTGAGTATTACCACCCATCAGTAAATTTTAATATGCATTAGACATCAGAGAAATGTGCCTGTAGTTTTTCTGTGTGGTAATGTAGCTCAAGTTATGTGAAGCTCTTCCATTGAAGTAAATTTCAGTTGAGTATCCGAACTGCCAAATGCTTGCCTTAACTGCAAAGTACAGTTAGGGTTCTTTTGTTAGCAGATTATTTCTAGTTCAAATATGAGCATTTTTGAAGTGACTACCTGTTTTACTTTTCCTTTTTTTTTTTTTCCTTCTAAAATACATGCAAAAATTACCAGATTACTTGGTTTTAGTTATAGAAATCTACTGAAGGTCATTCAGACAAAGAAAACATCCAAACCTCAAATTAGAAGTGAAATACTATCTCATTTTACATTACATTCTTGTTGTGGAAAAAAATAATAAAATGGAGCTCAAGATGTAGTTACTTAAATGGATTATAGTATTTATAGCTCTCCAAGTACTTGCGAAAGCCTTTCGTTCAATGGAAACCTCAACTGAATATTTTTTCAATGAAACGTAAGCCATGACAAACACCGTGAGTTTGCCTGTGTGAGCTTGCACAAACTTTCCATCCCTGGAAAAGCTGAAAGGAATGCTGGTAGGTTCCTTTTCCTTGCTATTTTCAGCATTGTCCAGGGATATTTCATTGTCAGCCTTTGCTGATGAGCTTTTAATGAGTTCACAAGCTCTGCATAAGCACAAATCCAATGAGTTGGATGAAATGTCCATTTATTATGGCCGCTCTACCTGAATGGGGTACCCTTGATGTCTGTATAATAGTAGTCATTTGTCATCACCAGGACCCGCTTCTAGATTCAGAACAAGAAAGTCAAAAGGAGAGAAGGCAAGAAGTTAGATTACTATAAGAAATGTATATACGATCAAGTGGTTAGTCACTGACATAATTAGAAGCAAAGTTTACATTCAGTGAGTGAAAAAAAAAATATACTGCAGGGAACCGCATTTATAGAAACCTTAAAAATAATTGAAAAATTATCTCCTTGCTTTATATTTAGTTGGAATAGTATTTTAGACATTGTACCCCTTTGTCCACTGTCTTCTTCACTTCCATGGAGAATTTTCCTGTTTTGCGGTTCACCATTGCATTTCGAAGCTGAAAGGAAGGAAATGTATTTCAATTCCTTTATTTGACTTTTCTGTAATCCTTTAAACTCTGTGCTCTCCAGTACACTCATCTAGCATAAGCAGCATTCAAGTTTCTTCATTCCTTCATTTCCAATAATTCTACTACACTCTGGAGATCTCATTTACAGATTTATTAGTGGCTGTATAGCGCAAGGCTCCTGCCATACTATTTCAAGCTGATCTACATAAGATAGGAGCTCTCAGCATCCTTCATAGTAAAATACCTTTTTGTGTAGTAATCTAGATTTTATTTGGTATGAACAGTGTGACTACTATTCTGTATTTACTGATGGCAAGGCAAGGACTAGATTTCTAGCTGGATTTAGCTGGTTAGACCAGGGCCCAGTGTTTAAATATATCAACAGAGACACAGATAACAAGAAAGCAAAAAGAGAGAAAACCTCTTATACACTACTTATTCTGCTTAAGAATCTACACTGGTCTACATCCATAACACACAACAGAAACTTTATCTTAACTTATCTTAAATAATTATTTAATTATTAATTAAACAATAATTAATATTCCATTAATAATTCAAAAATTAACACTAGCCCATGAAAACCAGAATGGCAGCCCACTGGATCAGTTACAGCATCCAGGGGGAGCACACAGCCACAGTGCTCTGCAATTCCCTCTGGTTGTCCATTGGTGTCCAGGTGTACCCCTTAAAAGGTATTAAATTTTAACTCTGTAGTGGAAGCCCTAGGCCAGTCACAATTTTAACAATTGGCCCGGACCTCTCCACATCTTCCAAAGGACATTTTAAATCCCCTTCAAAAATGTGTTTCATTGCTTTATAAGCCAAAAAATTCAGAGAAGCTAGGAAAACAGAAAACAAATGGAATAGGGTTTGTACACAATGATTTAGCTGCTGCTCTGTAAGTTAAATCTGTTACTTTTTAGATCACCACTACAAACACACAACCTTTTCCTGTAACTTTTTATTTCTACATGAGCTACAGGCTCCCAAACCTGGGAGCTGCTAAGTACCTGGCCCATCATCCCTCAAAACTCTGCCCTTAGCACTCCCTGCCTTCCTCCCAAGGGACACACAACCTCTCTCACAGATGCTACAACGGTGAAAAGAAATGTAAAAACCCAAGAACCATCCCCTAGGTTTGTAAGCCAAAATGACCATCAATGTCCCCAAGGATGAGGACAAGGTTTCTGGGCTAAAACTGAGGAAGGACAAGACAGGTGTTTTGAGAAATCTCAGCCTTCAGGTTTTGAATTTGCCTATTCATCAGTTCACTTTAGGGAAGAAATAAAAAGGTGCTGTTTAACAGTTACACCATCCATAAATGGAAATATTTAATTTGAACACTCTTAGATTCACTAATGGAAGATGTGAGTTATTTTGCTTTTCATGGGAAAAAGCACCTATAGATAGTTCACAGCTGTAATTTTCATTACAACTTGAAAATTCCACTATTACAAATCAATTTAGCATTTAAAATCCAGGAAAATATTGGCAAAATGAGCATTTTTATGTCTCTTCTATTGCATATCTATCTAAACACAATTTTGGACATCATGTTCCTGCTGAATAAATATCTCCTGTTCTACAGTACCTCATGCCAGATTGAGCAATTCAGCTGAGTTTTATGAGACATTGTGAAGACAAATATCAATGTGCTCTGCAGGCTGAGTTAGTACAGAGGGGAAAGAGAGTCACCAAATTTGCCAGTGAAATATCTAGCTTTAGTCTCACAGACAAGTTGAGCACAGCTGACCTATAGAAAACTGCAAACTTTGCAGCTCTTTAAATTTAATTCTAGGGCATCTAGATTTGAATTAACAGTCTTACTCTTCTGTCAGTGAGTGTAAAAGAATAATTTTTAGCTGGAGGCATATATAAAATAAAGCATATATTTTACTGTAGATTTTTTTTAACAATACATAATAGGCAATTCTGGAAATAGTTTCCTATTTTAAGTTTTGTGGTTTTGGACTTGGAGAGCTGGTCTTAATTAACCACCTACTTTCTAACATTTACAGAACAGTTCCATTTATCTTTAACATGGTTTTCATTTTTCTCCTATTGGTGCCTGCAGTTGTCTAAGACCCATTCCTCCCACAAGCCTCAGGCAAGTCATAGATTTACTAAAAGGATCTCCAAACTCTCAGTAGTGTTTAAGATCAAGTCTGCATGTGGGATTTAGAGTTTTACTCTTCTCTCTTTTTTTTTCCCCTGCTTGCTGTGATTGCATTTCTTGGCTTTGTAATCTGGTTTCTCAGCTCTTCTGCAGTTTCATCTCCCTCCTCAAATGCATAAAATAAGCACTGCCTCAGCTGGCTTCAAGCCCCAAAACATTCATTCATGGTCCTTTTTTTTCTCTTCTTTTTTTTTTTTTTTTTTTCATTTGGAAAAAAATTATTTCATTCAGCTAGAAATTAGAAGAATTTTAGGTGAAGTAATGAGAAAAAGGTTTCTATCCAAATTGAAAAATCTCCTCTTTGGTAGTGTGCATTTGCAAACCTTCCTGGAAGATACTACTTAACAAGCTCATGCTAAAATCTCTGTTTCTAATAAAATGCCTTAACAGCAAGATAGCAGGTATTGTTAACCTGGAAAATGAGCTGATATATTTATGACAACAATATTTCATGGTGAAAAAAATTCTAACCTTAGTTTGGCCACCTTTTCCTTGTTGGATCACTGAAGAAAACCCATGTCTTCACCTTTCAGAGTAATAAGCACTATTGCTCCTTCAACAAAATATCTTTCAGTCGATTCCTTACAACTCTGTTTCACTGCTGCAGTATGAGATCATTCTATATTCTTGGAAAACTATGTAACCATGAAATTAATGTGGCAAAAAGTAAGAAAATGTCTTAATCAGCTTCTACGTAAGTGTTTCACAGGAGAAAAATATACCAGTAGTAGTCTATGTTATTAAAAGCAGCAATATGAATACATTAATTCTTTGCCTCTGCATTTGAATAAACAATGCTTTACTACTCAAGCTTGGTAAAAATCAAGAACATCCAAGGCCTTGGGTGAAGCAGAGCCATGTGTAACTTGTTTCTGTGTTACAATTAAAAATATATTTTTAATAAACATATTTTATAGGTGAAAGAAAGATTCAGATGAAATGTATCTATTTTTCATCAAAATGTTAAATAAAATTTTTGTAGCTTTCAGATAAGAGAAAGATCAATTTTTAAAGAAATTTTTAGAAAACGTGATGAATCTTAGGGGTCTCAATCAAAGGCAGTACTCAGAGAAAGCTGAATCTGGACTTTCATGTGTGCTCAGAATCTAAATTGTAAATAAAACTCGACTTTCAATATCACAGAAATAGCTCAATGTCCCATTATCTCAACCACTGAACTTCTACTGAGATATGATTTTAAAATGGGATTAAAAATGTGAAAATTAAGCAGAGGAAGTAACAAAAGAAATATAAAGGAAGAAAGAAAACAAAGCAAGGAGAAATAAGAAAAATCAGGAAGGTTTAAAATCTGAATGCAACTACAATAACATTTGAAAGACAGAGGAAATTTCAAAAGGTCATTAGCAGAGAAACTGGTTGAATAATAAATGATCAAAGTTAAGAGAAAAAGCAGGGTATAAAACATGAGGCCAATGAGATTGCCAAGACTGCAGAAAGTTGCTACAATAGATGAAAATCTTATGAGGAAACCTTAAATAGCGTGTGCATAGAAAATGACACAAAGCTAAAAAAACGTTGAAAAAGTTTGCGTGTGCACTCCAACACAAAACTTCAGCTTAGGAAGTGAAGTGGCCTCTGAGGAGAGGCCAAGGACAATCTATCACCTGGTGAAACAGACCTTGCTTAAAACACAGATGAACTGTTCCACTATTCACCAAGGGGGCGGAGAGAGAGAGGAATGCAAGATATATATTTTGTAAGGGAGAAAGAAAATACAGACTCATGTCAGAACACAGATCAAGAAATTAGGACATCTGAAGACTGACAAGACTCCAGGGGCTGCTGTACGTGATCCATCCCAGATTTCGGAAGGACACGACACAGTAAATATGGGAACCTTCAGTGGATGTATTCAAACCTCTCTGGCAAAGCAGAGGTACGAGGGACCTGAGAGAAGCTAGCACAGGACTGATATTTGAGAAGGGATCCAGGAGACATCTATGAAAAATACAGACATGCAGTCGTGACTTTGGCAGGAGGGACCTTATGGGAAAAACTAAATTACGGGACAGAAAGGTGAACACCTGGAAAGTTACGATTTAATTAGGGACAGTCAGCACAGATTCACACGAAACGAATCATGCCTAACAAATCAGATTTATTGAGGAAGTGACAGAAAGAACAGGCAAAGGTTAAGCCATGGACATAAGGAAAGCTTTTGATACAGTACTGCAGAAAAGGCTAAGCCTGAAAGGTAAGAAAGAATAAGATGAAGAGCAAACTACAGAGTAGGTGGAACACTGAAAAATTAGGTTAATGGAAAGCATTGTGTGATAGACACAGAACTCATGCTCCTGCAACTACCTATGTGTCTGAAATTAGAGTTTGGAGTGAAACTCTGTTCTGCATATAGGTCAAAGAATCCAATTTTGTTTATTAATCTGATGTTTTTTGAATTTGTACATTAAGCAAATCCTCCCATTACTTCCATTCAGGAAAATAGGATCTCATGGAAAGAAGTTCAACTAATTTCTGAGTTTCATCAGTTGTCTGGGCCAGCCCTGAGGAGACATTCTATTTCTGTTTCTGGTGCTATATTTGTTATCCAGCACAAATACACAATGGAATGCATGGAGACTGCAAGGGTGATGAGTTCTACCAAAAATACAAAGAGTCTGTGTTTGTGGTATATGCATACATAAGGAAGAAGCAATGCAAAACAGTTATAAAATTCTGAATTAAATAAAAGGGTCTATTGTCCTTCCCTTCCTGAGATCAGTCAGGTGGCCTCTCTAATGACTACTTAAACAGTTTCCAGGTACAGTAGTGGGATGCTACAACGTCTTCTGACAGGGTTTTAAAACACATCCCTTACCACATCATCTCTGTCTTCCCACTCCACCTCAGAAAGATCCACACTACTGTAGTTGGGCTTTCTTCGTTTCTTCCCCTCTTCATACTGGTACAAAAAAAGGTGGAATAGTTAGCACATCCTGTTTTATTTGCACAATCAGAAGATTTAAAAAATTCTAAATGCCTGCTGATGGTCTGCAATACATTTAGCAGTAGGTAGCTTGATTCACACAAAGTGCACCATACTGCTGCATAAATGCTCCCTGTGAACTAAAAACCTAAAACTCATGATCATTTGCATGATCTCTTGCCATGATGCAGAGCTTTTCTTGATGGGCACACAGGGAGGTCAAACGCAGCTGTTGTACTTTCTTCTCCCATATGGAAAATACACAAGACCTTGGATCTTGAAGTTTATGTTAAATATCTCCAACTGGCTCTTTCAGCTGTACAGGAAGTTCTATTTACTATAATCTTATCAACAAAATGTTTACCCATTTCACTTTAAACAAGATAAGATGCAAGTCTTTGGGAAGTATGGTGTTAGCATTTGCTGATATTTCATTTTATCTACAACTTCACGGGGAAAAGTAACATAGTAATAATGATAATGTAAGGGGTTTTATCACTCCTCACTGTTACGCTGTAAATTGCACATTTAAAATAAACAGTCTTGTGACAAATTAATTTGACATTGAGGTGTTTATAACGTGGAAAATTCTGCCCTCTGCTGAACATTGAAAATCAGCCTCAGTGCAACCACACAAACTGGCTCAGTGGAAAAAAGTACATAGAAAGAATAAAGAATAAAGAATGTGAGTGGATAAGTAAAATTAGGAGACTAAAATTAGGAGACTACATTTGAAAAAAGAGTAAATTTGGGAGAGGATTAGCATAATGTGTAATCCGGTCATTTATCGAGAAAGAAAACAGAAGTCTCTTTACAAGGTATGACAGGAGACATTGTAATGTGTGAAATATCCCCAAATTGATCTTGTGACTCCTCAGCAGCACCAGAAGGATTTAAACTGTACCTGTAAGACAATAGATATGGTTGATTCTCCTCCCTCAGGCCAGGGCCAGCTACACCATAAACTAAACCTGTCAGTGTTTGAGACAAGTAATTCATCAGCACAGCCAGCACTTTCCATCACGTCCTGCAGGTTACACAGAGACCAAGGGAAAGCCTTGCTCTCTGAGCATTGAGAAGGTTGTTCCCATCCTTTTTCCTCTCTGAATTAAAAATCCTCATATAAATCCCACAGTTTCTTTTGTAGGCCACAATAATTAAAAATAGGAACAAAAATCTTCCTGAACAGAAAACCTTTAAAATTATTGAGTACAGCATCATAAACACAAAGAAATGTTGAGATGTAACACTGCAAAGTTTCTCCCAGCATGGGCTTCACTGAGCTTCCTTAATTTCTGCTCATAAAAACATAGATACTCCAATTTTTCTTACAGATAGTTCTTTTAGAAAATTCTGTGGGATAAAATCCCGAGAATTCTCATTCTTTTCCATAAAAAATTCCCAGTAACTCTGTTGGTGTAAGTTCTGAGAAGTGATGAAGATGCAATTGAAAAGTATTTTCATGTGCTTTCCTTCCCTCTGCTAAAACCCACTGTTCTTGTAATAAGGTTGTCTACTTCTTGTCTGCCCCTATTGAACAGATGGGTGGAGAGAGGTAAAGAACTTCTGCTTTCAGCACGTGCTCATACTCCAGACTTTGAATTCAGGCAGCTCAGTCCTACAAATTAATTTTTGCTCTGTGATAGCCACAGAGATAACTGTACCCAAATACTGAAGAACAAAATTTGCAGCCAATATAATTAAATCTCACAAGAATAACATATGAGAGGATAACATCCCATTCATTACTAGGGCTTGATTTCTCTAGCTGTGTTTTACAAGTCTTTCATTATGGTTGAAGATATATCAATATTATCTTTAATCTTCACAGGGAGTAACTACATTTATTCTCTGTGGCTGCACCAACTAACCAAATAAACCAAATAAATCGAGTCATTCTAGTAAAAAAATGGTTCCAGCCAAGCTCTGAAATACTGAGAGCTGAACAGTATTACAAGGGACATGAGCTGGGATCATCTGAGTAGAGCAAACAGCTCCTGTACCGATTCCAATGTTTAATTACATCCTCCCTCACAGATGTTGAAGAGCTTCTGGGCTATACTGCATTCTCAGACATGTGCAGACTCTTATTTAGGACAAGAAAAGTTGATCTTGTGTGTCTGACAACAGAAGCAGGCTTCAAACCTCAGGCAAACTATTAGTATCATATTATGGGGCTTGTATTTATTTTAGTCATATAGATTCCACACCTTGCACTTAGAGAGCAAAAACCACAAGGAAACAAATGAAGATCTGAAAAACATATCCAAATTTCTGCAGAAAAGAATCAGGAGTGTTTGTGTCTTAAAAATTCATAAAAGAAGACACAAAGCCAAAATCCCAATGATCAAGCAGGAGTTAGTCTCTATAAGCATTCAAAGTGCATTAAATGCATTTAGGACCAGAAATAATGATCTTCATGAAAATATCACCTTACTCCCACAGTAAATTTACATTATGCTCATGTAAACAGGGCATCAAACACCAGTGCAAGCAGATCAGATATAAAATACTTCATAAAAGTAATGTTGAAATGTCCATTCTCTTCTAGCTTCTTTCTGGTTTTATTGCTTAACTAATTTCTTAGTAAAAGTTATTCATGGACACTGAAGCAATTCCCCAGGTTTTAAAAATAACATTCATCTATATCTTCTTCTCTGGTAGCAATCCTAATCTAACTTTTTATTTCTGAGACTCCTGGGTAAAGTTTAAAATGCTGATTGAAGCCTGAAGCCAAATCCTTCTGCAAGATTACCATAAAGCATTGAAAAAAATCATTAAGGGACCCATTGGGAAAGATAGAAACTAGGAATTCTACCAAATTACTCTGATTTAAGTACAGGAGAAAAAGAGCTAGATTTAAAATGTGTGCTGCTAATCTTTGGCTTCTATAAAATATGAGGTGATATTATATAGAAGTTAACCCCAGGGAGGAAAAAAAATGCTGAAATGTGTTAAATATCTGGACTGCAAAAGAAGAAACTTGTGGTCTGCTCAGAACTACAGGATGGTTCTGACTAATTGTTTGTGAGAAAAACCAATGATTTTTTTTTTTTTTTTTTTCATTAGAATGAGCTTTATCGTATCTTACTCAGTATCTTTTGAGACTGGGCCAGACTCTTACAGCATTGGATTATTCAAACCTGTGATGTGTGTTGCTAAAGACTGAACCACATTTTTCACCACCCTGTACATGACCATTTACATGTGCCATTATTAAACTCTTTGCTTTGATTTTTTTTTAAATTTTTTTTTTTTTTTTAACAGAAGCAGTCCCAATCCATCTGCCTTGAATATGAGCAGCCACATGTTTATAGAGTCAGAGTGTAGCAATCTGATCAAGGACAGGTCAAGCTTCATCTTAACAGCTGCAATCTTGGGTCTAAGGTGATTGGAATTTCTCAGACGTGCTCCATCTGGATAGTGGGGAGGTGGGAGAGAGGAAGTTGCTGTGATAGCAACCTTGGAAGCATCACCAGATTTTAATGAATTTTCTAAGCCACAATGTGGAGTCATCTGTGAGAAAAGCACCTACTAAAAAACAACAAAAAACCTAGAGAGGTAAAATAATTTCAAGGAATATCTCTCCATTGCCAAATTACTAATGTGTACTAAAGTAAGGAATTGGGTACTGAAAAAACTCCTCCAATTTTAGAGCATAGCATCATTCAATGAAGTTTCATCTTTGTGAACTAGCACTTCAAAATTTGGATAATGTATTCATCTCATCAAGTGTATTAATCTCATGAGCCTTTGAGATTTTCTCGAGGCTGAGAAGATCAGCCCCTTTTTGTTTTGTTTAGAGAAGACAAGTGAAAATATGCAAATATATTTTGCTGAGCTTGAATTCTACATAATAAAATTCTGCACAATAAAATTCTTTCTATAACTAACTTGCACTAAGCCATCCTACAAAGGTATTCTTATCTACAAAGCCTGATAGGAAATCTTGAATGAACAAATATCAGAGGAAAAGCACAATTAACTAAAATTACACACTTTTCCATGCAGCTTTAAATAAACAGGCAGAGGTTGTAAGCACTGTCTTATTTGCAGTTCCCTGGTCTGGGCAGTTATTCAGCTCCCTCCCTTCCCTCAGACTCTGCACACTAAAGCTGCCACTTATTTATTGTCTGAGGTACCTCTGACTGCCATGCAAAGCCTGCAGCTTTTGGGGTGGAAATTGCATCAGACCTGACTTCCTTCACCAGCCCTCCCAGCACGAGTTGCTGCTCTGTCCCACTGCAGGGACTGTGCAAGGGGAAAGTGTGATTTAAAAACAAACACATAACTAAAACAACAAAAAAACCCCAATAAACAAACGAACAATAGAAGTGAAAACCCCTTCCCTGCTTTACCTGCTTATAATCTGATAATACAACATCACCCCCAGTGACTGAGCTTTCATTCTCCATGTGCTACTTAGCTCCAAACCATTCTGCCTGGGGATACATGTGAAGTAGCATCTTAATCTAAATTACTGTTGCTTGGCCTTTAAGCTCCTTATTTCATTTGGAATACTTTTTTCTCTGCTCACATGGTCATGTTTTGTCATGTGTGATACTTTAATATCACAGTTTCCATCCAACCTGTAACTTCAAATGGTTTCTTATTGATCTGCACTTAGCCTTGAATTTATAGAACACTGATAGGTGATCAGTCAAAAACAAAGTTTGTTTCAAACCTCACAAACTAACAAACCTCCTTAGTTTAATATTAAAAAGGTAAGGGCTTCATTCTCTTAGGAAAATAGGAAAAACAACTTCCCTGTCCAAAGACAGATTTTCATGACCAGCCTATTATTTAAAATGTTAATCTAGAATTCCCTAGGTTATGGTTGGTAGTAAAAACCAGTAATTTTGGATTGATTCTCCATCCCAGATAGTAGTGAAAAATTGCTGCCCTATAAAATTTGCAGAAATACTGCAAAGAGAAGCTGAAAACAGGAGTCATGTCATTTTCTAGGGAAAAGAGAA